ATCTTCTCGAACTTCCATGCTCCTGTTGGGGGCTAAGAACACGCTTATCTCCCTGAGCCTGGCCTTCATAAGTCCATTCCATCACAAATGCTGTCCCCACTCCTTCAGGGATGTCTAGCTCGCCATGTCCTTGCCGGAAGTCCAAACAGGATTTTAACACATAGAGAATCATGCTCAGTTATTTGTAATGGGGGATAACTGGCTTGAATGAATAACTTATAGAACAGGGTAAAGCAATATATTTTATATGCAGGGCTGCATTTGCATGAATTTGGATCATGGAAATGGGACATGGGTATGTGCTGAAAAAGGTGCCCTGGAAAACTGTTTTAAACTCTCAAACATGAAACCTTCCAGTCTAACCCCTACCACCTTGAAATACATTTAAAAGCTGACTCACACCTCCATCTACCATTCTGTTTGACAGCTGGTTAACTTTGCAGGAAAAAGCATCAGTAGAAGCTGAAAGTCCCTCAGCTTTCTTAGTGGATGATGGTTTACTATCTGCCTAAAGAAGGAAGAATGTCTATAGGAAGACACTAGGAGCAGGAGGACTATGTCCTCTGTCCTCCACTTTCAAAAGGCAAAGAAATTTCTTGTTTTAGGAAGTAGGACTAAATCAAACTTCAGCATTTCTCTTTACTCAGTTGCCAGTTACAGTGGACTGATGTGGATCAGAACCACTGTGTGCTAGGTGGGAAAAACATAGCTCTTTCTTTAGCCTCTATTTAGAAAAATAGCCCGTGTGTGAATTTTTCCAAGGATTTGGGGTGGATCAGGCTTCCCTAGCATTTGGCCCCAGGTGGATTGGGCCATGGCCATCATACAGTTCCAGTTGAATAAATCAATAGCAGAAGCTTAATTTAGTCCTAAGAGGCTATTTGGAGAACAGCAGGATCTCCGTTCTCGTGGTGATTTGGAAGACCTCATTTTCCAAACTGCGCACCCCATTCCTTCGAATAATGTGCCCATTCTCACAGGGCCTGGGGAAGACCAGAAGGTTTCCAAAGGATCGCAAGGATGGGGCACACATTTTGGAGGAATGGGGCAAGTGGCCTGGAGAACAGTGTGAGTGGCCTTGGGAAGAAGGCCTAGTGCAGTCAGCAGTAGCCTCACATACTGTAGGGTCAGGCTGGGCATGCCTCATCAGCAGTAAGAGGGAAACGGCAAAGGTCAGCTGGGCATGGCTGAGCCTGTGGAGTGCAGGGTGGCAGGGGTAACTAGGGCTTTGTGGAATGGTGTGGCTGGCCATGGTGTGGGGGTTGAGGTAGCATTTGAGACGGCTGGCCATGGTATGGGGATTGAGGTAGCATTTCTCAGTGGCAGCGGCAGCTCTGGGGCTAAAGTAGAGGCCTGGGGGCAGTGGCAGCTGGTTGACACTACCGAAGGCCCCAAGCCTCTACTTCAGCCCTAGCCCTGTGCTGCTACTGAGTGCTGCTGTGCAGGGTGGCCAAAAGGGCATAGATGGGGACTAGGCAGGTGGGGGGAGTTGCAGCACCTCTGCAGTCATATGTGCTGCTGGGCCTGCTGGGGCTTCCAGGGGTGGCTGTGGCTTTGTGCTGCATGGCAGCACCCTCCAACTTGCACGTGGCCTGTGCCGGGCCTTCCAGGGACTACTCCCCCCACAGCACCCCCACACTCCTTACCTTGGACTCCCCCCACTTAACAACTCGTGAATCTTGGTTAACGATGACAACTGGGAGTGCTGGGATTGCGGTCGCTAAGCAAAACAATCACATGACATCTCACGTTATGACTGCATCACTTAGCAATGGAAATTCTAGTCCCAATTGTGGTCATTAAGTGAGGACTACCTGTAATGGGCTATAAGAGTAACCTTGAGGAACAGGCAGAAGAGCCACAACCAAGACAAAGGAGAGTCAAGTCTGAGACATTTTCTGAAATTACATTTTTGCTTTGGACTCAAATTTCTTTTATCTGACTGTTGTCCCTCCAAGAGTTTGTCCCTCCAAGACCTGCCATCTCAGTTTGGCAACATTCTGTGTGCTGTCAAAATTCAAGGATTCCACGAGCTATATTCAAGATTTGGGGAGAGGATGTATGCAGCCCACGAATTGTGCTGCATGATTATAGAGCATATATGGAGATTGGACTGCAAACTACATATGATCTTGTATCTTTGATTCTGCCACAAGTACCCATGGTTCCATCTTGAATTACCTTTCCTAATGCTGACTGCTGTTTTTACTACCACTATTAGCAACATTATCACTTGAGGCGGAGTGTAAAATCTTCTGATCATGCATTTTAACAAATTCTGGAATATTATGCAGTACAATTTGTTGACACCTTTTAAAAGTGCTTTGCAAACTGCATCCAAGGTTTTTAGAGCAACAGCTTGTGAACCTCTGGTGTGATTAATAGTTGAAAGTAAAAAACGGAGGGAAACTTAATAGCATAAAATGCAGATCAGAATAAAATTGCTTCCTAGCTCTCTAAAGGTAATCAATACTGTTTTATTAAGCACAACAAAAATACCATACCATTTAAAGCATAGTATTCTGCAGCAAAAGACTATTCTTTGTGTAACAGGCAAATACTGAATGGATATAGTTTTGCAGCCTAAAAATCTTCCTGCATGCACATTGGCTTAGATGTCCAATTTCAGTGGGATGTAACCCCATAAAAGCAAAGCTTCACTAGCAGAAAGCCCTAAAAGATAAAGACTTCTTCCAGTCAGGCTGAACTCCTCCTGACTACATGGATACACCCATGGACTTTTCTTGCACGTAATAGTTTCATGACTTCTCAATCTAGACTACAGCCCTAGGACCTCGGATTTCCCAGTAGTCACTAACCAAGTATTAACTAGCTCCAACTCAGCATACATTTGGGGAATCAGCCAAGATCAGAGTTGGTGATTTCAAATAGAACTAATTAGATTTGTTCCTAATTAAAAAAGCACAGCACTAAGTTACAAATATGGTAATTGAAAAATGCTGTAAATAAACAACAAAAAGGAATAAGCAATTGTATGTCCTTTCTACTAATGACAGTATAAGAATTAATGGTTTTAAAGAGAAGCAAGGCAAAAGAAAAACCCTGCACTGCTTATAGCATCTGCAGCATTTATGATGTATGAATAAAATAAATTAAAATTTTCTAGATGATAGGCAAATTCTTTTGTGCATAAAGTTAGTACAGGTAATCCTTGCCTAATGACCACAATTGGGACTGGAAACTTGGTTGTTGAGCGAAGCAGTCATTAAGTGAGATGCCCACATGACTGTTTCGCTCAACAACTGCAATCCAAGCACTACCAGTTGCAGTCATTAAGCGATCTCCCAGGTCATTAAGCAGAGGGAGTGAAAATGCTGTCTGCTGAAGGATTTCAGTGCGGAGCTGAAATCCTTCAGCAGACAGCACTTTCCCTCCATCCTCTTTCCCCTCCCCTCTCTCAGCAGTGAACAGAGCACCTGAAGATTTCAGGTTTGTTCCTTTGCACCGCTGAAAAGGAAGGGGAAAGCTTGCAGCACTACGAAGGCAGCGACCTCAAATCCCAAAGATTTCAGGTTTGAGCCTTTCCACCACTGAAGGGGGAGGAGAAACCTCACAGCGGTGTGAAGGCAGTGACCTCAAATCCCTAAGATTTCAGGTCCCTGCTTTTGCACCGCTGAAGGGGGAGGAGAAACCTCACAGCAGTGAGAAGACAGGGACCTCAAATCCCGAAGATCTGAGCTCTGAAACTGCCCACTGCCCTGCCCTCCACATGCAACCTTCCCGCCGGCTTCCAATGGGGGAGCCAGCAGAGAAGATTGCAAATGGTGATCACATAACCGCAGGGCACTTGGCAACCGGTTGTAAATGCGAGCCAATTGCCAAACACCTGAAATGAGGCCATGTGACTGCAGGAAGGCCACAACGTTTTACGATGGCTGGAAGTGCTTTACCGGCTGTAAAGCACAATTTCCAAAGCCATTGTAATTTCAAACCATCGTTGAACGTTCGTTAAGCAAGGACTACCTGTATGAGCATTTAAGCTTCTAATAAATATTCTATACTATCATCTGTCTTGAGTTTGCAGAAGCTTCTCCAGAGTTTTTTCAAGAAGAGTCTTGAGATTCATATTTAAGACAGACACTTGGGCATTTTATATTGTCTAGGGGGAGAAGAGAGAGAGAGTTTAGGTACGTAAAAAAGCTGTTCAATTTTTTAACTATATAAATGTGACAAACAGTTCATTCAAAAAGCAAAAAAGAAAACTGCATGGAAAACTGTTAAGTCAAAGTAACCACTTTGCTTCTGGATAAGGGTGGGCCAATAATATGAATGTTTGCTTTGTAGAAAACAACACACTAATCATGTATGCAAATTCTAAGACTGTGAAATATTTCTAAAGATAACCTGGATTTCAATTCCAATATAAATCTTTTCCCAGCCATACCCGAAACAGGAAAACTGCTGATTCCCACAACAGACGATTGTAAGACTGAATGTGGTAAACATTGTAAAGAGCTTTATATACTGAAAAGCCTCTATAAACACAATTTCAAGATGCCAGTTAATGGATTTTTTTCTTTGTCCATGTTCCTTCATAAACTGTTGCAGCTTTTCACATAATTCTTGATTTTTCTAAATTACTTGAAAAAGGTTGTAACACCTCCAAGGCTGAAAACTGTTTCTGCAGATCAAGATGGTTCTTCTGAAAATATGGCCAAGCGAAGCAAAATTGTTCTTACTTCAGTAAGTGGATTAACTATTTCTTCATGTTCTATACATGTTAAGTGTAAGAATGTGAGCTACATGTCAGGCATATTTGAATTTGAGTATCAGCCATTAGAAATGGAGAACAACACTAGCAAAGGAAACAGGAGAAAGGGAAACAATTTTTGCTCATAAAGAACATGAATGAGTTTTCCTGTTTATCTCTGACCTTTTCACCAGCAAGCCACTTACAAGCTCTGCTACCCATAGTTTTCTCTCTTGTCTAGACAACCATAAATAAGTCAGCATTTTGTACTGCCTTCTGGAGCAGGGGAATTAAAAAGGCCACTGTCTGGGGCAGCCTTTTAAGGGAAATAGATCTGGATATTAAGAAATGTCCATAGAAATGAAGAAAATGAAGCCTAGAAAAAAGATAGTATCATCGTAAAAGTAATAAGTGTGGGGCAAACGATGTAATTTGTGGGTGCAATACTTAAACATCTTTGGGCATTCTCCTCTTCTACTTCAATCCCCTTCCTCTTTGGTAATCCTCATTATCTGATCAATTTGGCTCTTAGATTTATTTGAAACCATTTCAGTGGTGTAGAACCAAATTCAATGACTAATGGATGCAAATGGTTTTCTGAAGACTTTGGGGATTCTCCTGCCAGAGGTCTGGTGTGCACATACAGAATGGTGGGGATGATCTGGACCATCCATATGATCCCTCCTAAACATCCTGTAAAGCAATGCTGCTTCCCAGTGTTTGAGAAGTTGATGGCAATGAATTTGGATATTAATAGAGCCCAATACGTCTGTTGGTGGTATGAATTGTTTTGAGGGATCTTGCTTATAGTATGATTATTCTTAACTGTATCTATAGTTATTTCTATCGTTCTTTTTATTATTAGCAACATAATTTTTATATATTGCTTGTTAGCCACCCAGGGTTACTTGTTTTAAGATGAGTGGCTCTATATATTTTCTAAATAAATAAATAGAAGGTTTGACTGTATGAACATATACAGTGGAGAGAAAATTACAATTATACCCAAATACAAATAAAAGGTGATCTTCTATCATATTTTGTGATGGAGATGGCAGTGTAGTGAAGGAGGGTTTTTTGTTTGGTTTTTATCATATTAGCTGTTATATAAACGCTGGAACTCTCCAAATTTTGTTGTAATGAATTTGCTTTACAACTTGCAAAAATGATCAAACACATAAAGAATCCATCATCTTGACAAACTTCAGTATGGGCAGAGCTAAATAATAGTCCATTCATTCTATTATGGATACTTTTCAGTTTATACTATATGAAAGTAGATACACTGTGGAGTCCTTGGTGCTCCCTGAGCTTGATTGTTTGCTTGTTGGTATCCATTTTGTTGGAAGATGGGATCACCGCTCTCAGGACTCATAGCAGAGACTATAATGTAGCATCTAGAAACTATAGCACTCCCACATATACAACCAAAAGTATGGATCTGGTATGTAGACAACATCTTCATCATAATAAAAAAAACTAGTGAAGACACATGAAGCAATCAACAACATCTTCAAAGGAATAAATTCACAATGGAAGAAGAAAACAACAACACACTACCCTTCCTGGATATATTATTCAGATGAGTACAAACAGACTGCAGCAACCCAGAACACCAGAAAAAGGAAACAGACTGCCTATACAACATCTTCCAACAAAATGGATACCCACACAACTTTACTAAAAACTGCCTGACCACTCAACCCACCACAGCAAAACCAACACAAGCTATGAAAAGGATATATATCAAAAACATCTCAGAAAAAAACAACAGACTATTACAACCACACGGCATCACCGTAGCACACAAACCAACGAAAGCCCTCCAAAATGTCTTAAGTAAACCAAAAGACCCAGTAGCCCAAGAACAAAAAATAGGAGTCATCTACAATATATAGTGTAAGGACTGTAACAACCACTATGTAAGACAGGCAGAAGACTAGCAGAACGCATCCATGAACACCAACTAGCAGTCGGAAGACATGATGAAAACTCCTTAATTTCACAACACATGGACAGACTCAACCATAGTTTCAACTGGGAAACTGAGCATCCTA